TTACACCAACTAGTCCACCAGAACTCTCTCGACAAGACTCTCATCAGTTGCTATTGTCTGTAAGTGATTCTTTCAACTAATTAATAATAAGTCGCTACGTACGTACATGTCTGTGTTTATTATCCTCACTCTATATATATGATGCAGGTTTGAGATGGGAGAGTGCAAAAAGAGAGGGTGTACTGATATTAGTTTCATTGATCCACATATCGTATTCGAAAACCCTAAACCTTAACCAACATGGAAAGCAAAAACAAAGGCCAATATCAAGATGTTCTTAGAGAAGCAACGTGACAAGAAATGTATACTCTTCCCCTACAACTTCAGGTAAGTGTTCATAATGTCGACGATCGTGTATCCATATATATATGTTCACTATACCTGTTAGTTAATTAATGAGTGTTAATGGATATGGCAGTGAACACTGGATATTGATGGAACTCGATCCGGAGAAAGGTCTTCTAGGCATCTGGGACTCGATGAGAAAAGAGCAAAAAGAGTTCCAAGAGATGATAGATATTATTCAGAGGTAATTGCGGTCTCACTAGCAAAACTATTCGGTCTCTCTCTGCATGCAAATTAATGGTCCAAATATTTTTATGTTATTTGGTAGTTATTGGGAAAAGGATGCATCAGAACACCATATGAAGCATAAAGTGCCCTTTGAAAGTAGTGCTATACAAAGTAAGTACTATATACCTACCTTAGTTCAATTTCCCTATGCTCGGATGATGACGAATCTTTTTCTCGTAAAGTGGGTTCTGCTGTAGCCCCAGGGGATCAATCTCTGTGGATACTATATTTGCGAGTTCATGAGAGTGTGCTAAAAAAGAATTAGTCTAGAGCAAAAAAGGGTAAGTGTACACACACACACATATATATATATATATATTCTTCATACATATTTATATATATATATTCGTGATAGATACAATTTATTTATCATTATTCTTGATACATATATATATATATACTAATATACTTTTTCTTTATCTCATATCTCAAATTGAAGACTCGTTGGTTGAAGGAAAAAAACCCTGGACACACCATCTCAAAGCAATCCAAGAGACAATAGGTAGATTTCTGAATGATCAGGTCTTAACTCCCGGCGGCGAGTTTTACTATGACCCAAATATGTGATGATGAAAACCAAATTTCATATTGATCCAAAGAACATGTGATGATGAAATATACAATTAATACAAACTTTACATGTGACGATGAAATGTAATATTATGTTTTAGTTTACTTTTTTTACTTGTGTTGCTTGCGTGCATTGGTCGAGCGAAAACTTTACAGTATGCGCGCGTATACGTATATTACTTTGCAGCGAATAATGCGTATTCGAAAACCAAATTAAAACAAAAAAGAATCATCAATTGAAATAATCAGGAAAAGAAAAAAAAAGACCCTTTAGTCCCGGTTGATAATACCAACCGGGAATAAAGGGGCCAGCCCAGGCGCTGGCGTGGCTATCTTTTTAATCCCGATTAGTATCACCGACCGGGACTAAAGGTCCACTTCTATTCCCGGCTACTAACCCTTTATTCCCGAACTTCTATTCCCGGCTGCGTAACCGGGAATAAAGGGGGTTGGCAGCCGGGAATAGAAGCCCTTTTTTTTACTAGTGTGAGCATATACATCCTAGACCAGAGTCTGCTAAAGATGAAACTGCATTCATGTCACCTCGAAAATCTCAAGTCAGACACTCTTACCAATATCCCAGGGTTCAGCTCCTGAAAAAAAAACCAAAAAAAATCAGCATGGTAGATGTACAGAGAGTTACCAGTTCACCGCTTGTCAACAATGGATAAACCTTGAGAGCTAGGACTGTTTGAGCAGAATGGCCACTTCCACCACTACGGGATACTGTGTATTTACCGAGTGTGAGTAACACTCGGCAAATAGTGCTCTTGGCAAATAGTAACACTCGGTAAAAACCATATGAGATGATAAAGAGATATTCATGTTCTTGGTCGATTCACATAGAAGATGTTTGCTAGATTGGATGATGAGATTTTACCTAAGGTTGAAAGGCCGCTATGTCACTTGTATATGGAGGAATACATGGAAGAGTAGTAGTGCACTATGTCTTATGTGGAATGATTTGTGTATCCCTAACTAGTTTTATTTATGCAGTCAGCAAGCTAGATATACAAAGTGCAGAGAAGGAAATAGATAATCAACAGCTCCTACTAGAAGAAGAGAAGGTTGTAGCGACGTGTCTTGCAGCCCTGATATCTGACCTATCTGGTCCTAAAGGATGGGTGCCTATGAAAAACTCCATTCAGAGGTTTGTCATGGAAGAAAAATCTATTTTTTTGTAGAAATTCTGGATTTTTTATCATGCATTGATACAATACAAAACAACATGGAAATATGTTGGCATATTTAATTTGACATTATTATGAACTGTTGTATTATCAATCATTACTCGATCAATGGTAAACTAAATTCAAGACTTGGCTTTGTCTTGCAAATATGTTAGATGCTGCACAATATCGTAAAATTTGTCCTTTTGTCTTGGTTAGTTGTTGCAGTGGCTGCCATAGTGTGGTAATGTTTTCTAGTCAATATTTATTATCTGCAATATAGTGACTATATGGAAGCTGCCAAGAAGCTCCAGTCTTATTTCATCAGCCTGCAGCGTGAGGATCAGCCAACTCCAGAAGAGATGCTTCGGAAGGTATATTTCACTTCATCTTCTTATACAGTTATAAGAGTGCATTAAGGAGGGTGGTTAAATTGAAGTGGGGACTGGTTACGGAGAATTACTACAAGTTTTCATTGGTAGGAGTATTCACTTTTCACATGTTTCGATGAGCCCAAATAATCTTTTGTGGTTGGCGCTATCCTTAGGAAAGCTCACTCTAAATTTCACCTATTGCTACTTGCTACAGGCAGTTTGTTACATTCAGTATAAACTTCATTACAAAGGCTCCTTGATCCTATTCTCGCATCACCTCTTTTTGTTACATAAAGATAACTATGTAACCCAGCAAAATTTGACACTGAATGTAGTGGAAATTAGAATATTTTTGTTATTTTCTGATTAACTTGTGTACTGAATAGGATGTCTTTTAACTCGAAATTAAAGTGTTTATTATTGAAAGAACTGATAGCCTGGCTGAATCCTCACTTCTAGAAAACAATGTTCCCAATGGAGTTTTCAAGTACATTCATACACCTGTGCACATGAAATTTTCATGCAATCAGTTTCTGTAAAAATGCCTTGGTAGTAGTTGAGACTGAGAGAATCACATGTGCATAGTTGCGGTCTTAATTAGGATACCTACCCACCCAATATCTCTCATCTTGTTGACATGTTTGGTTTTGCACTGCATGTGAGAGATTACGACAATGGAGGAAGAACGAAGACCAAGTCTGAGCTTATTTACCATGGCGGCGGCGGTGGAGGATCGCTTGGTGGCGGCGGTGGTGGTGGAGGGGAGGAGGCGGCCACAAGGGCGGCAGTTCCATGTGATGGCGGCGGCTGTGGGGACCACCCGGTGGCGGCGGGTGGGGGAGGAGGCGTCCGCAGTGGTGGGAGGCGCCCGGGCGACAATGAGGAGAGTCGACGGCGTGGAGGGGAGGAGGCGGCCGCGGTGGTGGGAGGAGCCGTGGCGGCGTGGGCGTGGGAGCGGGGAAAAGCTTGAGGCGCAAAGGCGCGGGGACGGCGGGAGGCGCGGGAGGGGGCGGCGGCGGCTGCGGCGGGATGCTGTGGGCGTGTGCGGTGTGTGTGTGTGTGTGCACGATTTGAGGAGAAACGACTAAGTGTTGAATGCTTACACACTCGAGTGCCTAGATGTACGGCACTCGGTAAACTCAAGCACCGCAGCCCAATGACATGTGGGCTCGGTACATGTTTACCGAGTGCCCAGATCTACGGGCAGACTGGTAAACAGAAGCACCGCAGCCCAATAACATGTTGGTACTTTGTTTACCGAGTGCCCAGATCTCTGACTTCTCGGTAAACAAAGCATGGCAGCCCACTGTGGGCGCAGGTGGGTCGTGGCTAACCTTTACCGAGTGTTTGAGGTCACACTCGGTAAAAAGTATCCATTATTTCATGCAAAACAAAAAAGAAAAATGCCAATTTAATCCTAAAATTCACCAAACTTTCACATTAACTATTTCATGTCATCTATTTACTATCTAAAAATTCCAAGTTCAAATCATAATGTCGAATTTCACTCTTAATAGAAATCCTACTCGTCATTGTGAATAGAAGCGCCTCTTTGGGAGATGTACTAGTAATGTAAAAATACTTCCAAAGCGTTATGAAAATTTTTTCTATAACATAGATGTATGCTTCAATGTTAATTCTTCCAATCTCATGATTTATCGAAGTTCGATTTTAATTATTACAATTAATGACGATATGTACCTAATTTTCATAAAGAATGAAAATTTTGTGAAATATAGTAAATAAAGAAATAAACACCATATTTTGGAATGGAGTACTAAATATCATATGTGGATAGAGGAAAAGAATAAAGGAAAACAAGAAATTTGGTTGAATTTTCCAGTGTTGCGCCAATACACTCGGTAAAAAAAGATAGTGTTTACCGAGTGTTGTGCACTTACACTCGGTAAAACTTTTATTATTAAAAATACTTCTACACTCGGTAAACATGTCATGCCGTGGCGCCGTTTGGCGACGGTTGTATACTAGGTGACGTGGCACCAGTTCACCGCTTGTCAACTTGTAGTTTTGGATAGTTCTTGAGTGTGAGTCTAGGAGTGTTGGCACTTTCGAGCAGAATGTTTTCCGAGTGCCCCGACTTTTGACACTCGGTAATTGTCGGAGCACTCGGTAACTACACAGTCTGCGGTAGTGCACCATCAAGAAGGTCATCCCGATCAACACTTGTCAGCACGACGTAGTCTACTCTGCAAAGGATGTTATCTGTCAGATAATTTGCAGCATAGTCATCATCTTCAACGTGTTTATAACTGACAGAGATCATACCCCCAACTCGCGACTGCCATGGCTATCTTCAGAGGCTCCAGGACATACGGTGGGGGAGGCTCCAGAATCGACATCCCCGGGTGCAGGTGTCGCCGAGGAGCATGATCGTCGCGGTCGCAATGCCATCCCCTTCTCCGCCGGCCCCGCCACCTCCATTCCAACACTGCACACCATCACCGTCAATTCATCAAAACGAAATGAAACCAAAATCCCACAACTGAAGTACTGAACCTGCACGGCAGCCTAGAATGCGTCGAATCTGAATCCTACATATCGATTTGCAGTTTTATTCAGCCCTACCTCTCCGATGTTTGGGCACTGGGCCTCGACGTAGACGGTGTTGAGCTTGAGCTCCCCGAGTGACTCCCTCAGCCTCGCCCTCGCGCACTTCTCTCCCTGCGCCGCCAGACGCCACAGCCACGCCGGCTTCTGCACCTCCGGGTCAGCAGCCCAGCAAGAGCCCAACCCAGAGATTTCGCCGCCAACCTTGGTGTGATGCAGGAGAAGGAGAATCATGGGCGAACCTGCAGTGTGTCGTGGGGGAGCTGCCACCCATGGTGCTGCGCCATGGAGGTTGCACGCTGCAGCAAAAACGGAAGGAGGCGGGCCCCTCGACGGAGGCGGCGTCGACGGGGACGCGGAAGGGGCAACGCAGATGCTGCCACCGGCGAAAGCGTTGGTGTGGTCGTCGCCTCGTCCTCGCGGGTCTTGGCCGCGCCCCCGACGATCGTGCCCCGACGGCAGCGCTCCCGGCGGCTGCGCCCTCGGCCAAGGGACGCCGGGGAGAGGGAGTATTGCGGGCGGTGGACGGGGGCCGGCGGTCGGTGCCGCCCGCCCTGGATTTGTTCCCTGGCGGCAGTCTGTGTGGCAGAGGAGAGGAAGAGTCGACGCCGGGGAGAGGGAGAGTGGCCTCAGGGAGAGGGAGAGTCGGCGTCGTGGAGAGAGAGAGTCGCGCGTCGCACGTCCGCGTGGGGTGTGCGCGGGACGGAATGAGGATGAGTGATGAGGGTTTGGTCGAAGGAATCTCATCCGTCGGATTTGAGTGAGTGAGAGAAAGAAGAGGTAAGAATGGATCTCGTCTCTTCGTTTCAAAATCGGGCTGGCTTTGGATGTTTTTTTACGTAGGATAGTTCAGGACCGTGGTGGATAATTTTCTACGTGACTTTAGAAAAATTCACAACTAATGCATTATTAGTGGTAGAGATATACCAAAGCTTTCACTTGTATGTGCAGCATAAGATCGTTTCAAACTTAGGACGTCCTTGACGACCACTTTTAAATAGCTAGCTAGACTAGATTTAGAAATAATAAAAAAGACTGGATTTAGAAAAAAAAAAAAACATCGTAGTGAAGAGTTATTTGAACTACGAGAGAGTTATTTTTAGAAAATCGTGCTAGACTAGCTATTTAAGAGTCGCTAGCTATTTGATCTTTCTCCTTGGTAGCCAATAGAATTATTCCTAAACTAGCTATTTAGAAACTATTGAGGACGCTCTGATAGCCAATAGAATTCTTACTTGAGTAACTATTTGAAAACTATTGGGACGCCCTTAGGATGTGTTTGGTTTCAGGAATAAGGTGGTTCATCTTTTTGTAACTCCTCACTTTTTATTTGGTTTGCGGAATAAATGAGTTTCCACCACTATCTCATTCCTCACAAAGCTAATAATTAGTTCTATCTCTATCCCCAAAAGAATGCAACTATAGTATACGTGTCACTTAAAGTGCTTCACGTTTGACTAAGTTTCTAATAAACAGTGTTCACATTTATGGCTTCAAATCAATTTATTATGAAAATACTTTTATAATTAATCTAATGGTATTTATTTAATATTATAAATATTGTCGACACGGAAATTTCGTCCCGTGCCGAGGGCACACGAGCAAGCTCAGAAGGGTCCGCTCGATGGAGCTAGAGATCCGCCTAGCTTCACTTCAGCGCAGGCATGGTCGATCCTGCGCACTTCTCCCGAGACGTGCCAGTCAATTTGACCCTGCAATTGACAAGGAGAGAAAGTTTATCAGTAATTTAGGGCCAAACTTACCGGTGTTGCCAGACAGTCCCGAATGTGCGGCTCTGAGAGCCGATATGAAAGGAGATCGACTAAATAGTCGATTCCAACATATTCATAAGAATAAATCAGTTAAAGTTCGTGGGGTTGTGCAAGAAGAATCGGTTATCACTCATGATAGATCTCATTATTTAGACAAACATTAGTCAATGGCAATAAGATATCAACAATAATTAGTTTATGTAAAGCCAATGACTGTAAGTAACCGAACCTCTTTTTATATAAAAGAAATAGCTCGTCACCATTCAACCATTTAATAATGATAAATCTAATGAACATATTAGATCTCATCTATCGTTATGACCAGTGGGGCATGAGGCAGAATTATGCAGGCCATAGAAACAACAATAGACTCGACGACCCTAACTTATTACTAATATTAATGGGGCATGAGGTAGAATCATGCAGGCCGTGATACAATAATAAGATCATGGGGCTAACACATCTTTCAACCTATCCCTACTTCAACGATCTCGTGATGTGAACTGTTCGTGAAAGCGCTCGATATCGGCTAAAACAGTCGATTCAGGCATAGCGTACAGTTAAGGTCATGCCCTCTCAGGAACAGATCTACCAGATAGCGATCCTCACTCCATGGTGCTAATAGTGGGGTGTGAGGCAGAATCACATAGGCCGTGATAACGGGCCATGGAATAGATCTACTCAAGATCGTACATGCCAATAGATCTGATCAAGATTGAGATAAAACATAACTCATCATTTAAAGTGCAGATTAGATAAGTTTAGATTAACAAATGATGGGTTAAACAAGATATAAGACCGATCTAGATCAATCCCAATCGGGCGAAGTAATATTGTTGTAATTAAATAAATAATAGAAGCAATAAACAATATCGATAACCTAATGATTCTATCCGAATGAACGCCACCCCTAGATAGAGCCGATAACTTGAATTTAATCTAGTTCAAGCAGTGGAGGTTGACCGAATCGATGCAGCCTTACTTGAACTTGTTTACACTGAAATTTGGAAGAAGAATTGCAGGGACTCGAAAGCTATCAAGATCATGTCGTCAAGGAATCAATTGCATGTAGATCGAAACCAGCTGATTCGGATGCAAAACTTAGAATCGGCTTTCTCCAGATATTGCCAGCGGATAACGACGAAGACTACGATTCGGCGCTAGGACGAAACATGTCGGACTCTGCAAAAAGGGAAAGATTAGAGTCCAAGTTATCTTAAATTAAGAATGTTTTCTTTAAAGCCAAAAATTGTAATAAGTCATGCTTAGGAAGGAGTCATGCACAAGGCCCGAGTATAAATACCAAACCCCGGCTATTGTAAAGGAACAACCAATCAATCAAATATAAGTCAATTACTTTTTCGGCTCCGGCCACCCCTTAGGAGTAGGAGTAGAGTAGATCTCGGCGTGTTCTTCAACAAGTACGGCTGCATCGATCCGATCGACCTCCACTGCTTGTTGTAAGTACCGTCATGGTTTATACCTCTGTTCGTATGGCTACATCCATCCGGTCGACCCCCACTGCGGCTCTAGTATAAGCTAATTATCGACTCTTGTCTAATTCAAGTATGGCCTGTGTGATTCTGCCTCACACCCCACTGCTTGAATTAGATCAAGGTCAAGTTATCGGCTCTACCTTGGAATGGCAGTCTTTGATAGATTCATTAAGTTATCAATATTGCTTATTGCTTTCATTGTTTATCTAATTACAGCAATAACATTCTGTCCGATTGGGATTGATCTAGATTGGCCTATATCTTGTTTAGCCCATCGTTTGCTAACCTCAAATTGATTTAATCTACACCTTAAACGATGAGTTATGTTCTATTGGCTGTTTTATGTCAATCCTGATCATGCATAGCGTGCGATTAAGGCATGTTGCGTCTTGAGTAGGTTTTTTGGTTAGCGAGAACCGTTTCATGGCCCATTATCATGACCTGTGTGATTCTGCCTCACACCCCACTGTTAGCACCATGAAGTGGGGACCGTTATCTGGTAGATCTATTCCTGATAAGGCACGACTTTAACTATGCGCTATGCCTGAATCGGTTATTTTAGCCGATATCGAGCGCTGCCACGAATAGTTCGCATCACGAGACCGTTGAAGTAAAGATAGGTTGAAAGATATGTTAGCCCCATGATCTTATTATTGTATTACGGCCTGCATGATTCTGCCTCATACCCCACTGATGTTAGTAATGAGTTAGGGTCATCAAGTTTATTGTTATTTCTGTGGCCTGCATGATTCTGCCTCATGCCCCACTGGTCATAGCAATAGATGAGATCTAACATGTTCATTAGGTTTATCTTTATCAAACGGTTAAATGGTGTTGAATTGTTTCTTTATATAAAAGGTGTTCGGTTACTTGTAATTATTAGCTCAGCATGGACTGATTATTGTTGATATCTTATTGCCATTGATTCATATTTGCTCAAATAATGATATTTATCCTGACTGATAACCGATTCTTCTTATACATCCCCACGAGCTTTAACTGATTTATTCTCATGAATATGCTGGAATCGGCTATTTAGTCGATCTCCTTTCATATCGGCTTTCATAGCCGCACATTCAGGACTGTCTGGCAACACCGGCAAGTTCTGTCCTTAATTACTGATGAACTTTCTCTCCTTGTTAATTACAGGGTCAAATTGACTAGCATGCCTCGGGAGGAACGTGCTGGATCGACCGTCCCTGCGCTGAAGCTAGGCGGATCTGCTCCATCGAGCAGACCCTTACGGCTTGCTGCGTGTGTCCTCGGCACGGGACGAAAATTCCGTGTCGACACACGTTTCTGGCATGCCCAGTGGGACACCACAAATCGTCATGACGGTTCACAACAACAACAACATCCTTATGCTACATTATGAAGATTTACCTGATGGGGATAAGGGTGTCATCAGCAAAGCTATAGAAGAGTTTCAGAACAAATGTTTGTTGTCCTACGCCAAGACACGTGACAACACAATTATTTAGAAATTTCCACTACCAAGAGTTCTGTTGCACGGGCAGATGGACACAACTGAAGCTGAAGACAGGTGTTTCTTTAAAGAGGTTGTGGACAAATCTATTCGTGATGCCATATCAAGCCATAACGAAGCTTTCGTGGACGTATTCCATAACGCCTTGAAAGAGGCGATTCATGGATTTCTAGTTGGTCAAGGCGGACCAGCTTATTACAACATTCTAGAATCATCGATCCAAGGAACCAATCAAGTCGGTACCAGCCATCAAGAAGCAAGACCAGCTGGTAGTGGTGACGTCCAAACAGTTTAGGGTTCATCTGAGCAAACTCAAGGAACTACTGCAAATCAAACATAGTATAATCCTGGAACATCAGTACAGCATGTGCAACAGCCGGCGGGGTAAAATCAAAACTAGGTGATCAATTTTGGCACATCAAGCCATATACCATCGTCGGCCCAAAAAATAACACCATCAATTCAAAAGATCCGTAGAGATATATATCCTTATGTCTATAATCAGAGACTTCAAGCAGCACGCCAACAAAGGA